ATATATATATATATATCCACAATACAACCACTATATATATACACACACATCATCATCTACAATATATACACACATCTGCATACACATATACATATACATATATACATATACACATATACATATATATATATACATATACATTATGGATATATCCAAACACACATTGTACATACCCGTACCGTGATCACGATGTTCTACAATCCAAATCCTGTAACCTGTAGACTGTTCTCGACATTGCACTGATGTCACTCTACGAGCTAGAGCTGTAATGCAATACGCGTCGTTATATATATATATATCCTAAGACACAGATAGATATTGATATGTAGATAAACAGCCAGATAGCCTCCAACATCTACCGCTACTCCAGGTATATACTTTTTACTGGCTTAGACATGAGACCATAGCATAATAGGAATAATACCGTATGGCCTTCGCTTCTCAAGCCGCTGCGATGCTTTGACTGTAAATACTCGCCGAGCGATCTTAGGATAGCGCGTGAACGATGCAAACAGATTGAACAGCCACGTGTAGATGAATTAATGCGCACGTTGCAAGAGTTGATGAGTTTAAGTGGTGTGAAGCGTGTTGATACAGAACATTAGCAAGAAAAGCTGGTGATGTTTTGTTCTGCGAAAGATTCAACGATTTGGGCTTGACTAAAGTTTCAGGAGTTGCGGAATGTCGTAGTGGTTTTGTTGGTTTTTGCATGTTTGAATCTTGTATAGTTTGGAAGCTGCTTGTACTGCTTGAAGTGGTTTAAGTGTGTTCATTTTCTGGTTGTCCCTTGTTTCTACCTAGCCGCGAGCACGCACCAGCAGTTAATGACAATATATGCACCATTAATCACCCAACGCCGACAAAGACATGCAGCTAGGCGGAAATGGGTACATTGACACACGGAGCTACCGGGGAAACCTCTTAAAAGCTCGGGTTGTGTTCCCCTTAGACCATGCATATCTACGGGTCACATGTTGCATTGCTCCGGTTGGATGTTGTAGTACAATAGGTGTCTAGGTGTTGTCTCACAACATTTTTCGTAGTCGTTCCGTATCAGTGTGTGCATGTCCCATCATGACGTTCGATGAGGATAAAACAGCCGAGCCACGGCCGAAACCCCAAAAGTACGGAATTGGTCAATGCCTTGTTCAGAACACTGCGGGAGGCTGAGATGGCAGAATCTCGGCGAGAGGCCGGACAAACGCAATGCACACGGGGGTCACGCAGGAATTGAGGCTGTGCGTGCGACCGAGCGTGTGTGTGTGTGTAGGTTTGTGTGGGTCTGCGCGTGAGTCTGTGTGTGAGTTTGTATATGTTTGTGTGTGTGTGTGGGTGCGCCTGGGCGTGCCTCTGCGTGCGTGCGTGTGTGGGTGTGTGTGTGTGTACCAACTTGAGACCAAGAGACCATGCATGTTGAAAAAGGGGGTGCCGGGGTGACAGGGGATCGCAGAAGGCTGGAGACAACGAAGACTTTTTCTGCTTTCATTTGAAATCGACTTGGGATGCCAAGTCGACGTAAAGATCAACTACAATCTCGCTGTGCGCTGCTTGTATTTCGCTGTGTGCAAGCTGCAGTTTCTGAGAGTGATTCAGATTGCGAAAGATGTGATTGAAGAGAAGCGACTGAAGCAATGAGACTAGCTTACTAACCCATAGAATGACTTCGAACGTATCGAGGGTCATTCCAAGTGTGTACTTCGGCTGGATATCTGTCATAGTGCCAGTCGTGAGGCTCCAGCTTTATGTACAAAGTTAGGATGAGCGCAACAGATTCCCTCAAATATTTTCTCACATAAATGCTGAAAGATGACGGGACACTGTCTACGCGTGCTCCTAAACACGACATCTCCTACAACACCGCTTGTGAACAGCAATGCTTTCGCCTACTATACAACTTATGTCCAGGAATGCTTTAGCATGCGCGAAGTGTGCTCGCCTACTATACAGTTTGTGATCACGAATGCTTTAGCATGGGCGAAGTATGCTCGTTTACTATACAACTTGTGACGAGGTGCGTTATCATCCGCAGTGCCATCAATTCGCTTCCGTGCTTCCAGTTCGTTTTCGATTCGACGCCACCGGAGCAGGATGGCACATTGGCGCCGAGAAGAGCATCGGCGCCAATCGCTGTAGCATCAATGCATCCGCCCCCGCGTTCAGAGCAAGTGCTACAGCGGTTTGCACGCAGACATCGGACTGCATCACCTCACTTTGAACATACACTTCGCTCTGAACGTACACTCCGATCTGAGCAATCACGATCTTATTCAAGATCCCGTGACTCTGGCTTATGTTAATGTTGGAATGGGTAGATTTTGCAGCTTCATGACATGAGCGCGGTTGCCTGTGATGGAATGTGTACACTTTCTGCAGCTTCAAGACATGAGTGAAGTTCGCTTATGCCGAAACGCGTGGACTTTCTGGAGCTTTACAACATGAGTGTGGTTCGCCTATGTTGGAACGCGTGGACCTTCTACGGCTTCATCAAGTCAGTGCGGTTCGCCTATGTTGGAATGTGTACGTCTCTGCAGCTTTCAGTGCTTATCCTCTTAGTTTCAACATGTCGAAAAGAACAGCGACCATGGCTGGCTTACCGTCCAGAGTCCAGTAACACTCGCCTTCGGCGGCTTCAGATCACCCTCCCTGACGATTACCTCATGCAACCTGCGCGAAGCGTTTGTCCATCTCAAATAGAGGTGATTGTCGTCACGAGCGAAACAATCGATGTGGCGAAGAAGATCGGAGCCGCGCGAGTCCATGAGCTGACGCGCAAATACAAACTGCGTCATACGTTCCAGCTGGTTCAAAATGGACAGCACGTTGCCATCCTCACACCACGATACCAACACTTGCACCAATCTCCACAACGACACCGGTTACACTCGCCATACCGGCAACTGTTCCACAACCACGGGATCTGAAATAGGAAGTGAAACAAAAGCAGACCCTTGCTTCGCGATTCGGAGTTCTGCGGCATCAGATGAATCAGAAGCAGTGAAGTTTTTTCGAAGGCAGGAAGAACTACACCATTGCTGAGTCGCTAAACCTAGTCCATGCCTATGCCAGTCAACTAGCAAGACATGTTGCGCCACAGTTCCCTTCGAACTGAAGGTGTGACACAAGAGTTCAAGATTGAGCTTACAGTTCTGCATCGCTCTGCGAAAAATCTGAAGGCAAGCAATGTCAATCTCAGCAAATAGTGCAAACTTCTGCTACACTGCACAGGGACGAAAAAGGGACGATCGCTTGGGGCTTCGCTGTAAACCATTTCCAAGGGCCAGCGGTTGCAACGCAAGGAGCAGGACGGAATCGTTACATTTTTGTTCACAATGCCGCCAAATCTTGCCAAGCACTTCAGGTTTCCTGGGACTTCCAGATAGTGTACATGCAAAAAGATTCTATGGAAAAGCCATGTTCGCCTACACTGTTGAAAGCAGTGTTTCAGGTCTTGCAAAGGCAGTTGCAGATTTTCATTGGCATGGCAAGCATGAGTGTTCCATATTCGCGTGAGAAGCATATGGATCGCATGTCAAGCCCATCAATGCTAATTGATTGATACCCATCGTGAACAGCAGCTATTGAACAGATGTCCAGTTGTTCGTTCTTGCTCATAAAGATAAGCGGTGGCTCGTGCGTGAGGACAAAGCACGCATAGCCCACATTCTTTTGGCTCAACACTGACGAGAGTTGAGGTAATGGCAAGTGGGGCCTGCCAATTCACCCATCATCGACAGTCACGGGTCGTAAACATACTACGTGCTGAAATTGTATTTTCCATCTGCGTGATTCTTGTTCATGACGCAACTTTGCGATTGGTAATTATCGACCCGTGCAGTCTCCTTCGCAGTCTTCCGTACAGACTCTCCGTTGCAGCTGAGCGGTGTTGAGCGCACTGAGCGTGAGTTTCATGTCATGCGGTCATGAGTGCTTGCAGTCTATTATGCCATATCAGCAGTGGAAACAGGTCCACAGTTCTGGTTGAAAACACAAGTGGACGGCACTCTCAATCCGTTAGCGCCTTTGGAAAGATGGGTCTGCTATACCCAGGCTGAGCTACAAAACGTCCCTTCCGACCTGGTTCATCATTGACAAGAAGAAGTTGCACTGCGTCAACTTCAACAAGCACAGCCCGACAGTCTCCAATGCCAAGTTCATGAAATTCAACAACAAGCCAGTGAGATCAAGGAGGCTTTAGCCAAAATGTTGCAGAACTTTCAGATTCTGCGCAACACCATAGTAAATCTTATCATGGATGGGTCCGATCAGTTTTCCACGCTACCTGTACCTGCAAATCAGTTGCCACCCACCCAGTTGGTAGCATCGCGCACACAAGCCTAAAACAAGTTTGCGTTCGGACAGTGAGTGTGCTTTGTGATGCTTGCTCATGATTAAATCGTTGCATTCTCATGTTCAGTCACTACCATGCGTCCGTCAGTTCCTGACTTCCTGAGCTCCTGTAATCGGCATAGTCTTACTTACAATACTTCAGCGCATCATGTCGTCCAGAAGAGAGATCGTTGACTTCAGCAAGGCCAACGGTGTGGAAAACGCAATCAGCTATACCTAATCCTACAGGATCATGAAGGACGACGGGCGCTCCGAGATCGTCTGGTTCTTCAGATCGCAAGAGATGCTGATGCAATCATCGAACGTCATTTCAGCATGTCAGCCTCCAGTCCGGGATCCGCAATAATCGTTCGACGACCGATCCACCTCCGCCGAAGCGCACTCTTACATGGTCTCCAGTAGTTACAAATGTTTGGCTAAGGGACGGGCGTTTGCCCGCACTATTTTGGGGATGTGTGTTTTACTCGAGAAGATGCATAGTTTCGTAGGTTTCGGGTTGCGACAGGTTCGTGTTGAAACTCGCAAGTTCCGTGTTGAAGGTTTTGGGATTAAGAGCCAGGTTTGGGAGCAGGAGGAAGCAGAGGTGAGGAGAGGGAAGTGCATTTCATTCGTAAATCTCGAGGTTTTTGGGGCTTTCACTTCAGGACTGCTTGTAGTGTGTTGTGTGTTTTTGCCTGCTATCCTACGCCTTGAGTGCCGGCCCGGATTTGTGTTTTTCGGGGTCTCCTGTGCTATCGCAGCACTTTGTTACCTTGTTCTGGTGCTATCGCAGCACACAGCTACATCATCATCGCAGCACCTGTTTTTCTCTACTCCGGGTTGCCCGTGTGCTATCGCAACACTTTAACCTTTGGCTTTGGCGGTGCTATCACAGCACTTGCAATGTTC